TTTCTTTAAAAATGAGTAAGCAACATTCTATTGCCCAAAAGCGTATTCTAAGTAGTATAGTTAATATATTTAAATAAATAGTATTATAAACTTTAGTTATAATTAATAGCTCAAATATCATTAAGTTTCCAATAACATATGCAGCGTAGTTCCCAAATTGGAGGTTAGAACCTTAAGAAAGCAACAGTATTTTCATGATAATGAATATTTATACAGTAAGGAGTGACATACAAAATATTTAACAACTTATTTAGCTATATAAATTAATGTAGAAATAAAAAATTAGCACCATCTGCTTGTTTCTCCTCTGCTCATTATTTGCACAGACCACAGTCCTGCAAAGACTTCCATTTGCAACAGCACACACAGGAGGGTGACTCTGGTAGAGAGTAGCCACTGCTCTCAGGCTGTGCCCTCTGGCCAGGAAGTGCTGTAGGGGCAAGCAACAGCTTGGAAGACCTAAGCAGGGTGGCTCTCTGGCCAGAGGGCAGGCCAAGTGCGTCACTGAGAGGGTGTCTTTTGAGCAAAGACTTAAAGAAAATGGGAATGTGATTACCTGGTGAGTTTTTCAAAGCAAAGAGAACCCCAAATATAAATGCACTAAGGGAACAGTGCATCATAAGCACTGGGAACATGAAGGAGGCCAATAAGACTGGAAACAAGGGAGAGACAGGAGCACAGGAGGAGATAAAGGCAGAATAATAACAAGCCTCTAGGGCCAAGGCCAGGGATGGCGAACCTTTTAGAGTTTTCCATGATAACAAACAGCTGCTACACATGTGCCAGAGGTTCACCGCCATTGCTCCAGGCCATTGGAAGCAATTTGTTTCTTAGGCTGAGTGAGTTGAGATGCTAGCAAAAGGCTCTGGACAAAGGAGTGACATGTTATTGTAAAGCCTCTTAAATGACTCTAATGTCATATTCAAAATGGACTAGAGGGGGTGAGCACAGAAGGCAAGGCAGTGAGAAGGCTAACAAGGATGAGAAATTCCATCCCCTGCCGTTATGGCTTGTGTTTATATGCCCCATACCAAAGCCTCATGCTTTTTGAGGTGGCTGAATTTAGAGTGTGTGACTGATTCATGGTGGGGCTAAGCCTGAGGGCACTAGGATTAAGGGCATGAGTGTCACCCATCCTAAATAGTTTGAATCAGATAAAAGGAGGAGAGGGAAGGCATTTAGCCCAGTGGACCTGCCTCGAAAGTGCAAGATTCAGACTTCCATTCCCCCAACCACACTCTGTACCAAAAAAAAAAAAAAAGAGTGGGGGTAAAAAGATGCTGTTAAAGCCTCTTGTTGCCCCTCTGCCACCCTGCCTCAGAGCCAGATGGTTATAGACTGAAATCTCTATTTACTGTAATCCAAATAAACCCTTTTCCCTTTAAATTTTTGTGTTGGACTGAGATTCCATCTCACTCCACAAAGCATGGCTGCTATCAAGAAATCAACCAATAACAAATGTTGACGAGGTTGTGGGGAAGCAGGAACCCTTCTCCATTGTTGGTGGGAGTGCAGACTGGTGCAACCACTATGGAAATCAATATGGAGATACCTCAAAGAGCTGGGACTAGAGTTTCCATTTGACCCAGCCATCCCTCTGCTGGGTATCTTTCCAAAAGAATTAAAAGAATCATACCACAGTGATATAGGCGCACTCATGTTTATAGTAGCACAGTTTGTAATAGCTAAAACTTGGAAACAGCCCATTTGCCCATCAGTTGGAGACTGGATAAAGAAGATGTGGTTTTTCTATAAAATAGAATATTACTCAGCCATAAAGAATAAGAAATTACAGTCATTCATAGGAAAATAGATGCATATTGAGGTATACTCTTTTTTTTAATTGAGTTTATTGGTACATTCTAGGTATACAGTACAGTTACATTCATCATTGCGATCTTGTACCTTTATATGACAGGTCTTGGTTCTCATTTTTTTCCCCTTGGCCCTGCCCTCCCTTCACCCCCTCCTCCCCTCCCGATTTACAAGCATTTTATTTCCATTTTTTCATTTCCTCATATTTTTTTCTTTTCCCTTATTACCTTTCCCTACATCTTTAGCCCCTTTCTTCCTATTTCACATTGTCAATTATCTCATTAGGATCTTATGTACTATTACAGTTTATTCACACCAGAGAAACTATTCGGTATTTACACATGTGTGACTTATTTATTTCACTTAGGAGTATATCCTCAATATGCATCCATTTTCCTGTGAATGAATCTAATTTCTCACTCTTTATGGCTGAGTAGTATTCCATTTTATAGAAAAACCACATCTTTATCCTGTTTCCAACTGATGGGCAAATGGGCTGTTTCCAAGTTTTAGCTATTATAAACTGTGCCGCTATACTCTTAAGTGAAATAAATAAGTCACACATGTATAAATACCAAATAGTTTCTCTGGTGTGAAAAACTATAATGGCACATAAGATCCTAATGGTATAATTGACAATGTGAAATAGGAAGACAAGGGCTAAAGGTGTAGGGGAAGTGGGATGGGTAAAGAAAAGGAAAGAAAGGAAAAGAAAAAAACATGAGAAAATGAAAAAATGGAAATAAAGTGTTTGTAAATAGGGAAGGGAGGAAGGTGTGAGGGAGGGCAGGGCCAAGGAGAAAAAATGAGAACCAAGACCTGTCATGTAAAGGTACAAGATCCCAATGATGAATGTAACTGTACTGTCTACCTAAAGTGTAGCAATAAACTCAATGAGAAAAAAAACAAAATAAATTTGTGTGTTGGATATTTTGTCTCAGCAATGAGAGAAAAGCAGCTAACACAGAAATTTGGTATCAGAGAAATGGGGTCATTGCTGTGACGATACCTGGCCATGTGGCTCAAGAGCCTTTGGAAATGGCTTGTGGGAATAGGAAGAGTTAGGAAGGGTTCGGAAATGCCAGTTGAAAAAGTAGAGCTGGGACACCTTAACCTGTAGTGTATGGGAGATTCTGGTCACAGCTCAGAAGACCAGAAATCCAGGAAAGACGAGGCTAGGAGGTTTCTGCTGAGAAGAAGGACTTCATTGGCTGTTGGACTCCAGACGATGTATTTTATGGCTTAGCAGAAAGTTTGTCTGAATTTTTCTCCTGTCCAGAGACTTTGTCTCAGAGACTAAGATTAAGGATGGCAGACTGATTAATCTCACAGAAGAAATTTCAAGGCAGTCTAATGTTGAGGCAGTGGCGTGGCTACTGTTAGGGCCTTTTAGCCAGATTTGTGTTGAGAATCAAAAGCAAAGAGCCCAGCAAAATTATTTAAAATATTTTGAGTTTGTCCAAAAAGGAAGCACCAGTAAAGCTATGGACAGCAAAGATAAAGCAGAGAAGATCTTGACTGCTGAGAAGGAACAGAAGAGAAAAGATAGCTTGAGGCCATTACAAGAAGCAAAAGGACTTCATTCTTTGCAGCCTCAAAATTGCAAAAGTGAAAGGCTTTGCTTTGAGAATAGAGCACCAAAGCATTATGTTTCAAAATGGTGATGGCCTAGGAAAGTTGCTCCAGAATGGCAGCTTAGAGAAATTGTTCCTTAGGATTTGGTTCATAGGCACTGGACCCCTACTGCCAAGAGAGAGGAAGCCTGGCTATAGCTACAACTGGCAGCAGACTTCGGTGTTAGCCACACGGTGCTGATTTTAGGCCCATGAAGAATGCAAGAGTTGTGGAGTCAAGAAGGCTTCTACCCAGATCTCAGAAGAAGGCCTGGGAGGCCAGGCAGTGGCCCCTGAGAGGGCAGTGTGTGAAGCTGTGAGTGTGAAGCTGAAGGTGCAGGGGAGACCCCAGAAGTTTGGAGAAGCCTGGAGCATGGATCATCTGAGGAAAATTGCAAGGAGGGAGCACAGCTGGCCCAAGAGAGAAGCCACGGGAGCTATAACCACCTGCAGTGCTATAGGGGCAGAGCCACTCAAGCCCTTTGGAGTTTACAACTTACCACAGATTGCTGAGGCTGTTGCATGTGGAACTGTGAGATTTAATGTTTGCTCTGATGTATTCTGGTCTTGCTTTGGTTCCATTCCTTGCTATCCCTGTTTGTAACTTTTGGAAGGAAAATGTCTATCTTGTGCCATTGAATGCTGGAAATGTTTAACTTTTTTTTTTTTTTTTTGTACCAGGGATCGAACTTGGGACCTTGTGCTTGCGAGGCAGGCAGTGGAACTACTGAGCTCAATCCCCGGCCCCTGTTTAACTTTCTTTTCATTTGTATAGGACCTTGCTACTAAGAATTTACCTTCAATTTCAGAGACAACTTTGGAATTGGACTTTTCTGCAATGCTGAAACTGTTATGACTTTGACAACTCTTGGAGATGAACTAAATGCTTTTTTGTGTAAAGGGATATCTTTATTTCTTTAGGGGGCCAGGAGCAAAATGTTATGGCTTGTGTCTAGATGTCCCCCCTAAGCCTCATACTTTTTTAGAGGTGGGCGAATCTAGAGTATGTGATTGACTCATGGTGAGGCTAGGCCAAGGGCACTAGATTAAGTGCATGAGTGCTACCTGCGCAGAGTAGTCCGAGTAAGATAAAAGGGGCAGAAAGATGCTGTTAAGGCCTCTTCTTGCTTTTGCTGTTTCTGCTGCCATGAACTGTTGCCCCGTTGCCACTCTGCCTTGGAGCCAGCGATTATGGACTGAAATCCTTACCAACTGTGAGCCAAATAAACCTTTTCCCCTTTAACTTTGTGTGTTGGGTATTTTGTCTCAGCAACGAGAGAAAAATAGCTAAGGGACCTGCATTCTATAGTGTAGAAATGTGATTGAAACCATGAAATTAGACATTATCACCCAGAAAGTCAGCAAAGATAGAGAACGGAGGCAAACAGAAGAGGCCCTGAGACTGAGCCTTAGGTAGCGGCAGTGAAAAGAGGCCAGAAAGAACAATTTCCTTTCATTGGTATGCCTAGTCACTTCTGGGAGAAAACAAAGCATGTCCTGCTCATGGTAGGCATCAAAAAGTTCCTTCCATTGCATACAAAATTAAACAGAAGACACAAAGCCACTACTCACGGATCTGGTTGGTAGATGCACTGTAGAAGGCATTGACAGTTGTTGGGTTTGTAAACCACCTGTAGGAAGAAAAACAAGTACCACAGCATGATGATCATTATCCAGGTAGGAGGGTGATAAAGACAAACATGATAGGCTAGGCTTACAAGCAGATAACAGTAGAACAGGGATGCTGGGCACAAAAGGAAATGATCACCTTGGTTAGGGCCAATGCTCTGCCCAATAAACAATCTCACCCTAAACATAGTTCAGTGAGAATATATTAACATGCCTGGTTATTCTGGTTATTCATTGTTAGTAACAAGAGAAAAATCAGCACCAGTGCTTCTGAAAAAGCTTTAGTGAGAAATTCTAGAATCTAAAGGGCTCTCCCTGCAAATGAAAACACAGCAATGAGCTGTGTTCAACAGATCCACAGAACAGCTACATTTCTATGCTACATCACTGATCTGTCTGATTTAGTCACTTTTCTCATCACTGGGACACAATATCCTACACCTATAGCTTAAAGAAGAAGAGGGTTGTTCTGGCTCACAGTCTCAATCCATCATCTGTTGGCTCCACAGCAAGGCAGCATGTCACAGTGACACAGGAGAAGAAAAGCTGCTTGTTGTGGCATCCAGGAAGCAGAGAGGCAAGGAATGCCTCTTCTGCCAGGTCCCACCCGCACCTGCAAGCCAGCTGTACTGCCCCCATGATCCAGTCACCTTGCACACAAACCCCACTTCTGAGCACGTGAAGCTTTGGGGGAACATCTAGATATAAACCACAACACTGTTTGTTAAAAAGGTTGAAAATGGTAACCACACAGAGATCCATTTAAAGAGAAGTATCAGCATGCTATGCAGAGAGTCTGCCTGCTCCAGTGAAAAGTTTACTGATTTCAATGGCAAAAGATTTAACAATTGGTCCTGTCTCTATCACTAACTAGTTCAGCTGTGTTGGAAACTGAATTTCCTGGGGTTTGGTTGTATCCACAAAGTTAAAGTACTGAATTAGGAGATCTTGGGAGTCCCTTACAGCTATGAGAAGTCTACACCTTCATCTTAAACACACAGTGGTTTATTTAGATCAGGGCTGGCAATTTTTTGTATGTAAAAGTAATACTGCACATATTTTAGGCTTTTGTGAACAAAGGCAAGACCAAGGAAATTATATAAATAATTAAGAACAAACTTTCCACAACTTTTTACTGACAAAATATAATAAGTACAATTTTTGTAGTATAAGAATATTAGTGAGAAGAATGGAATTCTTTGGAGTAGGATAACATTTTGCTTAATTGTAGTTCAAAGTTATCACTTCTCATCATCAACCAATTTCAAACACTTATCTAGAAATTATTCTTGGTACATGGGATGTATGAAAATAGGAACCAGGTAAGACTTAGCCCACAAGCTGAAGTTTGCCAACCCTCAGTTTAGATCTTTGTGAGTTTCATTCACTGCCCTTTATGATTAAAACCAAGCAATTCATCTTAACTAAAGTACTTGAAAATAAACTTGTATAGGACTTGGGGTGTAGCTCAGTGGTGCAAGGCCTGCTTACCATGCCCAACGTCCTGGGTTCAAACCCTGGCATCACAAAAAGACACTTATAAAAACTTATATAAATACCTTTTACAGAACAATCATTTTACACACTTTTGTCTAAGAAAATAATTACTGTATGTCAGACTAATAAATTAATTTACATCAGGCTAATATGAAAATGACAGAACCCAACTACTGATTCTAGTTAGTCCATTCACACTTCCTTCCAACCTCTAAGGAAGTTCATAAATATGTCACATTATTATTAGCTAACATCCACTAAGCACTTACTCTAGCCTAAGCACTTTATTTATAGTTATTTCCCCATAGCAACTATAGGAATTTTTAGCTTGTTTCACAGATAAGAACAAAGAAACTTAAAAGCATTATGTACTTGCACAAGGTTTGGTCCAAGTGACTCCAAAGCAATTCTTTTAAGCATTATATTATACTAAAGATATTCCAAGAAATCAACAAGAAGAGCACCTCCTCTCTTTTCAAAGCTGAAACCTAAGATGTATTTCCATAGAATTATTTTTCCCTTTAATTTCAATGAAGCTTAAGTATTTAACACAAACTTGTTGGCTAGCCTATTTTCCCAAGAAAATAGGTAGAAAACAATGCAACTTTATTGACCTAAACTTGCTACCTGTAGTAAACAAAATTACAGTCACACCCTAATCTCTAGGATCTTGTGAATATATTACATTACACAGTAAATAGAACTTTTCAGGTATAATAAAGATTAAGAATCTTAAAATAGGGAGTTTATCTTTGATTATCCAGGGAGATTTGATCTAGTCACATGAACCCTTAAAGCAAACAATGTTTTTATTGGTGTTGTGGTGTTGGTGGTTGTTGTTTTGGGCTTTTTGTTTGTTTGTATGTTTGTTTTCACTGCAGTCTGAGAGATGCTACAGAGGAGGAATTCAGAAGAGATACTACAGATGGAAAGTCAGGGCGGTTCCAATGGTGAAAAGACTTTGATATACTTTTGCTGGCTCTAAGATTTAGAAACCCCCAGACAAAGGCCTCTAGGAGCAAAGAGTGGCTCCCAGGTGATAGCCAGTGAAGTAAGGACTTCAAACCTACAACCACAAGGAACTGGATTCTGTCAACATCAATGAAATTAAAGAGGAGTCTTTGTAGAAGCACCTGATAAAGCCTCACCAACCTAACTCCTTGATTTCAGTCATCTGTACCTCAAAGCAGAGAAACTAAGCTAATTACTACAGTAATTTTAGTACTTACTACACTAACAAATTAGAGCAGCAATAGGAAGCTAAACTTGGTAGGTTTTAAAAGAGAATCCATGAACCTCTCAACTTGGTTGCTAAATAACATTGTGTTAAACCAAAATATACACAATAGATAAGGTGTATTCCTAGAGCTTGTCCTTTCTCTTCCCAGCCTTCCCAACTCCCCTCCTTTTAGCAAAGAATAAACTTTCAAAATATTAGAATAAGTGTCATGCAGCAAACTAACTGCTGGTAGACAAAGTGGAAAATACAAAGAAAACAAACAATCAAGCCCTGAAATGCAACACTGAAAGGACTTCTGAAACTTCAGTGAGGAAGACTGAAACATTTCATCTCAGTTACATGATCTTGCCTTTCCTGAATCCCCAGCACTCCTAATGACTTGGAGGTACATTTGGCGCCTTGAATACCCCCCAACCTCATATTACACAGCTTTACCAGTAGATCCTACCAGGAGTTGATACTATTATATCTTTTGTTTGTTCAGTGCCCATGCCAAACCAGCTGTTCAACCGTCTATACATCTCCATATCCAACTTTACTATATATTTAAATTTACTACTCCCTGTAAACCTACCTGTTCTAGTTCTAATAAGTATTTACAAACTTCCTTACACTTTTCTCATTAAGAGATAGTGTCTACATTCCTCTCATCTTGATTATAAGCTAGTCATAGCAACACACTCCTAAAGAAGAAAGTTCAGTGGAAATTACAATGTGTAATGGAAATTACAATGTGTAACTTCCAAGGCTAGGCAATTACAGGCAATACAATCTCCCCTTGATGCATACAAGCACACTCTCCCTTCTTTTCAACTCTCTTTCTCAGGAAACTTGCTCTTGAGAGTTTATCAAAGCCAGAGATATACGCAGAGGTCGTAGGCAGAAGTTCTAGCCACCAGCCAGAGTGAGACATGTGAGAGAGGCAGCCTTCCATATGATTCCAACCCAAGCTACTATCTGACTGCAACTACATGAAGGGTCATGAGCAAGAACAACACAAATGAGCCTAGGGACAGCCAGAATCATAAGAGAAAAAAAATAAGTATTGGTGCTTTGACTCTTTAAATTTGGGGGTGGTTTGTCATGCAGCAATAGATAATAGGAACACCCAAAGGTTGACTGACCACAGACTCCGTGCTACCTAACAGGCTGAATTTTCCCAGAAAATTGTTTCCTTTGCCTAACATAATGGTTTAAGACATTTCTGAGGTGGAATATATTTAAGGGGAGTGTGCAGTCACTCCTTCTCCAAGGTTGCTTACACTCCTTATTGTTTACACTTGTCTAGGCCAGCCATGTGTTAGCTGTCAGGGCCTTGACGGCCCCTCCTGAGTTGATAGAACTTACCTTCCACTAAGATCTTAAGTAGCTTCTGAGCTGAGACTATTGTCCCAGTGGTAGACTCTAAACAAAAGATCACTAAATCTATTAAAATGAATTTATTATTATGTATATGTCTACTTTGCTAAGCTAAAAGTATCATTCCAGTGCTTTAAATTCTTCTTACTATGTGTTAGTCAAGCTTAATTGTTAACTTGGCAGGTCTAAGAGATTCTTGGAAAGGTGGTTGGATGATGGGAGTGCCATACTCTTCTTCAATGGATAAATTTACTGATGTTCATAGCTGAGTATGCTATTAGGAGGTGGGGCCTGGTTGGTGGAAGTGGGTCACTGGGGTCCTGCTTTTGGAGGGTACATCTCTTGCTAGTGCTGATCCCCTGCTCTGCTTGCAAGCTGTCGTAAAATGAGAATCTTTGCTCTACCAAGACCTTTTCCCTTCAAGCCAGCCAAACATGGACTGAAAACATGAATCAAACTAGATTTCTCTCCTTAAAGCTGTGGATCTTGGGCATTTTGTTCCACCAACACAGAAGCCAACTAATACACTGTATCTATGGGGTGTTCCTTCATCTGTGTTTGAAGTACTTAATGGATAGAAAAGAGAGAAGTCTCAAAATTCAAAATCTAAAACTACGTGAGAATAAAATTATACTGGACAATGAGAAAGATAATAGAATGTAATGGCAAAATACAATAATTTGAATGAAAGACATTGGTGCTCTGATTCTTTTGGGCTATATAAAGTAGATATACAACAGGCCACTGTTTTACATTTTACTTATCAATTCTTAAAAGTGACATGTAATATGGAATGGAAAAACCACAGAGTATCTCTTGCTTTCTTAATAAAATCCTGAAGATTATATAACTCACATTCCATGCTATGTTTTTACAAACAAAAATTTTTGGCAGAACCATAATTTGGATAGGCATTTGATATATTTTTACATATCTTTCAACACATACAGAAAGAAAATTTAGACATGTTTGGTCACAGTAGAACGAGAGTGAGTTAATAAGGAAGCTGATTTAAAATCATTTCTATCAAAGAAAAGGATTCTGCAGGAAAGAAATTACTTTTGATTCAAGCCAAGCACTAAGTAAATCCTCTATTTTTCAGCAAACTGATGAAGTGACAATTCTGAGAACCAACTTCTAAATATGTACCTTCAGGGATGACCACCCAATTAATTTCATTCTTGCTGACATTTTCCATTGCCTTAGAAACCTCTTAATGCACATTAGTGAAGCTAAAATGGATTCCATGAGAATGAAAGATAAAGGGTATTTATCTTCTATCCCCACAAAGAAGCAAAATGTTATTTCAGGACTGTGGAAATATAATCACGATGTGCTTTTCAAAGTAAACTAGCATAGAGGAGCTACTCCAGAATCATCCCCAGTTGATTAACTCATAAATTTTCAGACCTAAAAGATGTTAATTAAAGCCAGTGTGCATCAGGAAGCTAAAATATCCTACAATACTTGAAAAGCAATAGCTAAATGTTTCCTTTAAAAAAGAAAGAAATTGAGTGTCTATCACTTTACCATGCAAACAGGACCTTGAATTTCTTTATTTTCCTCAGCCTGTGGAAATAAGAATTAGAAGCCTAACACTGATTTTCACTCTAAGAGAACTTTCCCCAAACATTAAATAGTTTAATATCCTAGTGGAAAACAGAGTCAGCTGGTCACATCCATAGGTTCCATATTAGCAGGTCAGGAAGAAAAACACAAATGTCAACATGCAGACTTTTTTCTTGCCATTGTTCCATACAAGTACATCACAACAAACATTTCCACAGAATTTACATTGTATTAGCTTTTACAAATAATCTAGAGATGATTTAAGTTATTTGGGAAGATGCGCATAAGTAACATGCAAATACTGCGTCATTTAGTATAACAGATCTTAGCGCCCTTTGATTTGGGTATCTGCAGGATGTCCTGGAACCAATCACCCCTCCAGTACTGAGAAATGACTATGTGGTGGTTGATTGATTGTGTCAACTTGAGTAAGAGAAGCTCCACTAAACTGGCTCCGCAATTCCACACCCTAGGGTATGGAAGACCCACCCGAGGGTGGCTCCAGTCTTCGCTCTCACATTGCATGTCACCTCCTCCTGGCTTCCCTCACAGACAATTCAGTCTTTCATCACAGATCTATTGGTCTCCTGATACAGACTTGTATGGGACAGTACAGGCCTTCAACTGGATTCCTTGGATCTCCAATGTACAGAAAGACCCTCTGTACTTTCCACATTGGATTCTATGGGTAGCCATTGTAAGCCAATCTTATAGATTCTTATATATTTGTATATAGTCTATTGTATCTATTTCCCTAGTAAACATTGACTGATACAGACTATCTGTTTTTCATTGACAGAGAGAAAAACTATACAAATCAAACATCTTGCCTACCCCCACAGTCACCTGGCATTTTTCCAAGGCATGAATACAATATGAGCAACAGTCAAAACCATTAGAATCTGACAGTCCATCAGTAGGTTAGGATCATGTTAAAGATAACACAGGAGTATTTCAACTTGTAACTCAGGCCCTGCTACACACCCAAATGAATAATGACATTTTAAAACTGAAGAATTAAACTGGCACCATCTCCAATAAGAAGGAATTCCTGAGATCATTAAAAATTCACAAAAATACTACTGAAAGTCTTGAATTTTCTACAAGTTTTTTTTAATTTGAAGTAATCTAAATAAGTTTATGAATGGGTGGGATGATTTACACAGATCTGTGCCAACAATACTACTATACGTAGACAGTCATAGAGATATTAAAAATCATTTCATGAAGTCATTAGATTTGTGTTATCAGATTTTAGAGCCCTAAATCTAAAATATTTATTGAATAATTTTGATTGAGAATTAAACAGAATAGGCAGACTGAGAAAATGTGATAGAGGGAGGAGAGGACCAAAGGCAGTGACTTTGTAGGTGTGCATTATAAATAAGTTCAAAAGGCAGAGGGCAGAGAAGGCCAGATGGGATCATAAGAGGAAAAGGCAGTCACAGCTTAAGCCAAGGAAGGATGCAGGGGCCTAGGGTTCCTAGAACCCAGGATGAAGTAGGGAGTTGAAAGGGACAGTAACAACAGTCCAAGACAGCATAAAAAGAGCCAACCAAAGATCTGGAAACCAGGATACATCAACCAAAGTTAAAAGGTTAACCACTGAAGGTAGACTTCCTGGTATGATGGCATGAAAAGATAGAGGATTCCTTTCCACAAAAAAATCAAGTATACAATTAGACAAAACAACCAATAGTCATTTCAGGACTCTGAGAAATGATCAAAGGCAAAAAATAAATTAAAAACCATTAAATCTTGATACAGTGCTAGAGCTAGGGAGTAAATAGAGCAAAATTCTTTGGCCTTCTTGCATAGGACTGCTCCTGTCCCTTCCAATTAAGTTGGAAACTTAGTTTTATCAGGATGAGGCCAGCTGGAAAATCAGCAGCTTCACTGCCACATGGGGTAGACCCCATGCCACATGCGGTAGCAGTGAATCTGGAGCTTTCTTAACTGAAAATGGCCAACTTGGTAGAAAACAAAAGAGAAAAACCCAGCAAAAAATTTAAGAGGGGGACAGTAAAAGAGTCATAGAAGATCTAAAGAAGCTCTCCACATATTTCTGGCTGAGTAGAAAACTAGGTACATGTGTAGAGGAGACCCGACAGGGCCCAGTGGAAGGTAAAAAATCTAAGGCAGATGGAAAACTGGCTGTGACAATGAAGGCACTCCCAAGCTACACACAGAGTAACTGGCACAGCGAGACTCCGGTCTTGAGGTGTTTGAGCATAAGCTCACCCTAACCACTGGCGAGACACTAAGCTATGCAGACACAGGGCTAATTACCAAGAAGTGAGGCTAATAAATGAAACTAACAGCTAAAGAACCAAGCACAGACATCCATAACCACTTACTGAAGGAAAAACGCATTTTGCAGTGTAATTCCAGGAAAGTCACTTTTTCAAAAAGCTTCCGAAAAAATAAATGAGAATCCAGAGTTGCTATATTATCTAGGATGTCCTTTTCAACAACAAAAAAATTATGACATACAAAGGAAAAGTATAAAACAACCAATCTATAGTAACTGGCACTAAGTGAGCCTAGATATCGGATGTGGCAAAGATTCAGAAGTGACCATTATGAATTGGTTCAAAGATTTCAACTATATTCAAATCATTAATGGTAAATATGATGACAATGACTCAAGAAATCATCAACACAAAAACCAAAGCTAAATAAAAAACAAAAACAATGGAAATTCTAGAGTTAGAAATTGATCAGTAGAAATGATCCAACCTGAGAAGACAGAAGAAAAGAAAGCACTGAAGAAGTAGGTCATAGGAGCAGACAGTCTGCTCCCAGGAGCCAAAGCACCAGCAGGCAAATGGAAAAGTAATCAAAACCTGAGATAAGGAATGTCTCAATTACCACCCTTTTAGTCACTCATAAAATAAGGATAATAGTACCTCTGCCTCCCAGATTAACATGAAGACAAAATGAATTATACACTGTGAAGCACTTCCTGGAATACTGCATAACTGTCAGTTGCTATCTTCCTCAGCGTCATTACCATCATCACCACCACCATTTTGCTAGGGGAGAAATCATGACTGGCTGACCTTGGGCCTGAAAGTTTGCAAGAAAACTCACCCATCAAAAGGGAAAGTTCTTACAGGCAGATGGGAGCAAAATAAATAAATCTTAACAGCTATTCAAAGAAAAGAACATAGCTATCAGTTCTTTGACGTGTATTAATTACCTCAACAACTACCTTCTAGATGCTTCACAGCGACACAATTTCTTCCACATTTCTAATCATACTTATTTCTAAAGTATTTATTCTTCATTAAGGTCTTCAGAAGTTTCAACCCAAGTGTATACAGATACATATGTATATTTATATTTATAACTAGATCTAGAAATAACTTAATGTTTGCATCCTAATAAGCCTTATTCCAATATGTATGGATGTTAGGGATAGGGAACCCGTAATTAGACTGAAGCTCTGAATCACATATCAGAAATAAGAGTTGACAAAACATGACACAGCTACTCTGACTTGAGAGGAAGTACAAAGGATAATCTAAAGAAATTCCACTTCCCACCAACATATTTGTCTATTTCACTTTCTTTTTGTTTTAATACTCACTCTGTTTTTGGAACAGCTTTTCTTAGCCAGAAGAAATCAGACTGTGCTAAATACTTCCGGGTTTGCAGGACATTGCCAAAGTAATCCAATTCTGAAAATTTGATCTAAATAAAACAAACCACAACATCAATGTCCTAAGTGAAGACAAGAGATGGCTCTAAAAACAGACTTCAGCACAGGAAGCAGCAACCAGCAGATAAACTACCCTTCACAGCATCTCTCAGCCATTACTGGTTAACCCACAATCCACAAAGCCATGAAATTTCATCTCAGTGAACTTCTCAACATAAAAAGCTCAAAAATCAATATGACCATTTCTGGGTCACAGTAAAAAAACAAGAGAAGCTCCAGTCATTTACAATGTATTCCATTTACCTTATAATTTAAAAATCTAACCTTTATAGAACATATTATCTTAGGTTTGAAATTTCTTGGCTCACGAGTTCTTGATCTTCTCTAAAATGTGTACTTTACTTGTCACAAAAGATTCTTCTAATAACATTCAGTTTAGTCAGCTGAAACCTCATTTAGCTTATAGATGATGATTTAGTCAGATGTTAAAATCCAATTTACTGTAATCGGCATTTGTTCATAAAGGAAAAAAAAGTAACTCTGAGACCTATTTTCCATCCTGAGCACAATAGAGTCACCAGAATAATTTAATCATTAGCAGAGTTTATCTATTAATACAAAAAGGCTCTGGTTGCTAAAAATTAATGAAATTACAGGGGCAAATCATAGATTATAGCTTGCAGGGGAATACAGGAAGCAGATAATTCATAACAATATTGTTTATTATGATAGGGAAAGAAACATAATTGATTATTGAGTTACCTTTTTTTCTTTTTTTTGGGGGGGGGAATGGCAAACAATTTCAATCCTATCACATTCCATCAACAGAAGTAGCAATAATTAAGCAAAGTATTGTAATAATATGTGTACCATAGTAGAAGCATCAGTATGTATTGATCTCTAATGTTTTCTTCTAAAATACATTGATATCACCCAATTTAAAAAATAAATGTATAACCATTGCAAACAAGAAAAATACACATTTAAATAAGTGAATAACCAAGAATATTCAAATTCTTATTAGCTATAATTTTTGATAACTTTACACTTTACTTTAAAAGTAAACATTGCAATATATGAAATGCATCTAATCCATGAAACCCACAGACTTTGCATTACAGACATGAATGTATATAATTTGACAGTTATAGACTTGACAGGTCATCTATTTGTTGGCCAGTGTCTGGCTTACATTTATCTCTACCCTGAGATAGAATGGGTACTCATGTCTGTGGAGATATTTTTGTTAATGAATCATCTTTCCAGAAGACCAGGCTAAAATATAAAGGGAAGTGTAAAACTGAAGGCACGTGGAGAAAGGCAAGAATTAATATATTGATTCCTGGCACCTTTGGTGTTCTTCTTGGCCAACAAATTATAAAGATATGACTTTAAATTGTCCTTTCCTCAAACTGCTTGGGCAAGGGAGAGAGCTGATAAATAAATCATACCATATTCACATAATGGAAAACAATAGAGCTTTAAATGAGTGTTCTGTATGCATGAACATGAAATAATCTCAAAAACAAGGTAAATAAGGCAAGTTGTATGTATGAAAGGATTTAAAGTTTTAAGACATGCAGAACAATACTATGTATTAATTATGGATACATACTTACGGAGCAAAGATACAAAGAAATGTATAGGACTGATAGATCTGAATTCAAGACAGTGCTTATATCCAAGGAAGGAGACAGACATGGCAGAAAAAGATTAGATCAAGAAGGGCTACATACCAAGTTGAAAATATAACTATTTAAAATATGTGGATATTCTGGTCATGGTGGTCCTCCTCTATAGCCTCAACTACTTGGGAAACTGAGGCTTAAAGATCACATGAGCCCAACAGTTTGAAACCAACCTGATCAACATGAAGAGACCCCATCTCTAAATTCGTAACAATAAAAATGTGTATGTGCATGTACAAAACTAATTCAATAACATTTGTTTAAAACAGAGGTATAAGAAATATAATTTTACATGCTGTTCCTATGTTACAGAAGTTTCATAATAAAAAAAATCTTACAATCAATTGTATTTTAAGATGAAGGATATCTTTTAGCCTTAGATAAAAACAAAGAAAGCATTTTAGTTTAGAAATCAAACTTAACTAACAATCCTACAGCATTCTTGTGTCATATGGTTAAAAGATGTGTTCATTGGTCAACCCTGAGCATTTTTTCAGCTTTTGTTCCCCAGACACTTTTGCCAGGACATTCAGAATACGACTGGAACTGATAGAAAATTCAGATGTTTTCGGATTCAGCCCACTGTCTGGGAAATTCTTCCAAAGGTATTTCCCTCAAAAACATTTACCATTTATATGCAATATCAGTAGAATCAGTTTTTACTTTTAGAAAGGTTTGCTAAATGTGACATTTTCTTGCTTAATCCGAAAAAAATGAAACAACATTTAGATTGGTCTACAGACATTAAAACCTATCCCAAGATTGCCTAAGAAGAAAAGAGTCCTAAGTCTAAATATCATAAATATTAGGTATTTACTCAAGTGTGTCCTATTTACTTCACTTAAGAGTATAGCCTCAATGTGGATCCATTTAGCTATAAATGTTTCTAGTTTCTCATTCTTTATGGCTGAGCAGTACTCCATTTTATAGAAAAACTACATCTTCTTTATCCAGTCTCCAGTTGATGGGCATTTAGGTTGTTGTTTCAGAGTTTTAGCTATCACGAACTGTGCTAATGTAAACAAGGGTGTGCATATATCGCTGTGGTATGATTATTTTAATTCTTTTGGAAAGATACCCAGCAGAGGAATAGCTGGGTCAAATGGGACCTTTAATCCTAGTTCTTTGAGGTATCTCCATATTGACTTCCACAGTGGTTGTACCAGTTTGCACTCCCACCAACAATGGAGAAGGGTTCCTTTTTCTGCACAGTCCCCCCCAGCATTTGATATCAGTTGATTTCTTGATAGCAGCCATTCTTTCTGGGGTGAGGTGGAATCTCAGTGTTGTTTTCATCTGCATCTCTCAAATGGCCAGTGATGTTTTTTCATATATTTATGTGCTGCTTTTACTTCTTTGTATAAGAAATGTCTGTTCATTTTGGATGCCCATTTTTGAATTGGGTCTTTATATTTGGGGGGCCAGATTTTTTTCAGTTCTTCATATATTCTAGATAATAGTCCTTTGTCTGAGGAGTAGCTGGTAAAGATTTTTTTCCCCACATTGTAGGTTGTCTCTTAGCTCTGTTGGTAATTTCTCTTGCACTGCAAAAACTTTTTCTGGTGTGAAAAACTAAAAGTGTAAATAAGGTTCAAATGGTATAACTGGGAATGTGAAATAGGAAGAAAATGGCTAAAGGGGAAGTGGGAAGGGGAGGGGAAAGGAAATAAGGGCAAAAATGTGAAAAAATGAAAAAAATGGAAACAAAGACTTTGTAAATAGGGAAGGGTGAAGCGGGTGAAGGGAGGACAAGGGTGTGGAAAAAACAAGAAGCAAGATCTGTCATGTAAAGGTACAAGAACCCAATGATAAATGTAACTGTGTCATTTGCTTTGAATGTATCAATAAACTTAATGGAAAAAAATAAATATCATAAATAATAAAGGTATGCTACATCCATAAAAACAATCACAAGAGGGTAAAACTCAAAGGTAGTAAATTACAGTTTGCCATAGCTTTTACATTTTAAAGAACAATTCTAATATTGTGTGAATTATTAAGATAAGAAAACTATTATGTCTTCAGCTGGTTTCATTCATTTATTCTATATATTTAAAGGAAATCACAAGTGATGGGGGACACATATTAATTTTTCCTCTGAGACAGGTTAAGTATTAGGAGGCAGGGAAGGGCCAATTATTATTGCTTTTCTGAGATGATAAGACTGATAGACAAGAACTAGCGATAAAGATGTTATGAAATTGGGCAGAGCCTCACAGTGTCAATGGTTTGGCTCCTACCTCAATGTGATTTACACTGGCCCAGTAAGAAACAGATGCAACAGAAAGAGTACAAGGAAGAAGGAGGAGAAGGCAAGAACTGAGGACTGGAGTAGAAGCAATGAGTATATAAACTGCGATATGGCTTACTTGATGAAATACTATATAGTCAGTAAAAGAATAGTAACAAAGTCTATGGAAGACAGTGACAAAACAGTATATTAACTGTAACAATAAGTATGAAATTATATACAAACATCTATTACAGCTATATAAAAATAGAGAAAAACAACACATTTTTAGGGAAGAATATATTATGATGATGATGTTCTGGCCCCAATATTATGGGTGCTTTTCTCTATTTTCCAATTTTCCTGCCATTTGATAATACTTTGATGATTTCAAAGATTTCAAAAGGCCTTTATACGATGAAAAAACTTGAAGCCGAGCAACCATTTGGAGAGTTTTGCTTGTTGGGGAGAAAGACAATAACAAAAATGAATGTGCATGAATATTTTAAGAGATCTCAAAAAGTATTAAACTCTTCAAGGGACAATAATAAGCTTAAAAGCCTTTGGTCCTTTCAGTTACTGGAAAAAACTAGATCCAGTGGATAATGACTTCAATCAATTCCATCTCTTGACTTTTCAATTGAGTGACCTTTGGGGAAGTAATTGCAGCTATCATGTCATTTCATAGGAACAGCTGTCCAGATTATAAAATTCATTGGAAACTGAATTTCTCTTTTTGGAAATCCTAGCCTGGATGCCAAGCACCAGATTCCACAGAATAAGTGGAAGAAGAAAGTTATCAGTGCCCCCACAAAGGTGAGCTACATATAGTAAAGGCACAAGGAAACATGTTCACCCTCCTTCTCTGTAAGGATGTGTTAAGACCCTACTTGTGTCAATGGAAGTACAGACTCTAACTCACTTGTCATGTAATTCAAATCCATTTAAAGATACTCTGAGATATATCCAAACAGCTATAAAAATATTTTATATTAGGCACCCAAAGAATTTTCTGAATGCTTAATGGAATCCAGGTTATGTATCTATTTTTCTTCATTTAAACAACAAAGCAATACGCAATATTGTGTGTTTAGACATTTTTGTTCCTATGTAACGTGTGTATACATGCGTATGAACACATACACACACACGCACAGAGTCCAAAAAAAATATATAAATATCTATGCATGCGTCAGGATAAGAAAAATAGTATGATGCTTTTTCAACAGATGGTGTGACCCTCATGGCCGGGGGACCCTGGAGGATGTCATATATCAAAGAAAACTCACTACACTATGGCCCTTAGAGAAGGGATTCAAAATGTATGTGCAGCAATCTCAATGACCAAGGTTACCCAAGCAGCAGTTCACTGTACTAATAAATGTCTGGAAGCTCATGACCACTACTTCGAGCACCTCTTGTAATTGTAGAGACCAAAGGTAACTTGTGTTAATCTCATGACGTCTCAATAAGTGTAGTATTAAAATATTTATACAAGTTTTTCTTTTCATGAAGTATGTGTACATTTTTTTGGTGGACTCTGTATATACCGGGGTGAATCCACATATATGGGATACCATGGAAGATGGACTTTATGAAGAAGCAGCTTTATGAAGGTGACTGAGACCACCATCCTGCAATGACCCCACTCCATGCTGGGGATGGGAGTGGCCTCTGTACTCCAGCCAGCGGAACACTCTGGATGAAGGCTGGCATTGGGGAGTTAAGGCCAGGCTGAAAGGTTGGTGGGTACCAGGACACCCTATTTCTAGTGTGTACTCTTAGCTCTTCAGTACTGTAGTGACCAGGGGTCTCCAGCGAGGTGAGGTCAATAACTTTGGGGTTTTTTTAATCAAAGGGTACAGAATTATTTAATCATTTTAACAACTTCTTTTTCTAGAGCATTCCATACTGTTAGATGCACTTTCCATCATTTAGATACACATCACTCACACGTACACACACAATTCCACTGGCTGACCAATGTTTACCCGAGAATAAAAATATGTGTTCATATCTATCCATCCATCCATCCATCCATCCATGAATTTACGTGTGTGTGTGTGTGTGTGTGTGTGTGTGTGTGTGCATCACTCACCAGAAATACTAATCTCTAAAAACCTTACTTATTTCCAACCATAAGTAAATGGGGGTCAGCTATGATTCTGACTTTAATCCCTACTGCAATCACAAGAATGCATGAAGTGCCTAACTATGCAGTTATTTACCTACAATCATTGAGCTACATGCCCACCTTTTCACTCTGTTCAGTAACGCTGGGGGTTGGCTGTCTGAAAGGTCTATTTTCTGGGTTCCTTTATCAATTGGTATCCCACCTACTGAAGGCACTGGGAGAAATCAGGTAATGTCAGAAGACTATATGTTGTGTTGCTCCTCTCTCCCTCCCTCTCTCTCCAATCCCTACCTCCTACTGGAAGAATCTTCAGTTCTTCCTCCTCTCTTGTCCTAAGTGACAAAATTATTAAGTTGTCCTCTCCATGCACTTAGGCCAGGCAGGGGTGGCAGCTTCTTCCTGAACTTATTCTTCGCTGGTTTACTTCACCTTCTTTTTTGCCTTCCAACCTATTTCCTGTACTAAATCTTCTGTTTGGATTATCTAGTGTGCTTTCTGCTCTCCTGGCTGATACAGGGATCTTTTCAAAATTGGTATAAGCTCATACTTGCATCTATATCCATTACAGATCAATGAAGTAGAATAATGCTTTATAAGGATAATTAGAAAACGGACTGGTACCTTCCACTTTAGGCTAAGAGGTTTTACTGGATGCTGATGTGGGTTCAAATAAAAGGAACTTCCTTTCTTCTTGTTCTCTTGTGTGTATAGGAGGGGTACTAAGGATACAATTTAGGGCCTTCACAATAAGCTACATCCTCAATACTTTTTTTTTTTTGAGACAGTCTTTCCAAGTCACTAAGTTGACCAGGCTGGGCACAAACTTTTGATTCTACTGCCTCAGACTCTCAGAGTGCTGGGATTATTGGTGTGTGCCTCTTCCTGCCTTTCTTGCTATTTTCAAAGACTATAAGAGGATTATTGTTCAGAAATGCTTTGTGGAGTATCTCAATTTACCTTGTCATCCTTAGAAGGGGAAAAATTCTGATTCTGTTTCACATACGCCTCTCAATTCTTTTTCATTTGCTCTCATCTCCATATGAGCCCAACCTGAGTTTACAACCTTTCTCTTCGACTTTAGTTTGATCCATCACTGAATCTCCCCCCTTTTGTATTTGTGCCTGACGAGTCATATTACACCCGTGTCAAATGTAGCAAGCTGCCTTCAATAGCCTCTCATGCTCAGAACTTGTATTAGCAGAACTTTCTCACTGGCCCTGTCATAGTCCTTATCTATGTGCTCCTCCACAGTCCCGTTTTGTCCCAGCAATACTTTATAGTCTTCTTGCTATTAACCTTGGTGACACTATTACAATCTGTTCCATCATCCTTTCCCCTATTTTCAAGTTAGGTATTATTCATTTTTCTCTATCAGTTTCTGAATACAAATGTCTTTTTACTTTATATATTTGAATTTTGCTCACCGCTGGTCCTATAAACTGTTAGAAACTCTTGAATGTGATTGTGTCTGCTCTGGCAATGAGTCAGACAAAAGTCATTGCTTTGCAAAAGTGCTTAAAAATCTTCATGTCTAATGGCATCAGTTCAGGCCCTGGAGAAATGAAGAAGCATAGCCAACAATGCATCCTGTTTGGCATCTGGTTTCCTTTCATAAAAGATACTATAGTCAGTGAGTTCTTAAATCTAGGGCTTTCAACTCAGACAGCCAGAGACTGCCAGCAAAAGTTGATCAACTTGATATGAGTGAGCCCTGAATGCTACCTAAATTGATTAAAGTTTGGGACTATTCCATCTGTTGGGTCTTTTTAATCAATTTGAAGATCCTGGAAACTGTATGTGTTAATTCATGATGACTTTTCCAAACCAAAATAATCCACTACGATAGTATAAATTGAGAATGTCATAGCTAATATTTATATTTTCACTTGTATGCCACTGTCAGCTCTAAACACATTAAGTATGCTGTTTGATCCTCATAATACTCTTATCTATATGGGAGGGATTATTATCATCTCCATCTTCAGATGAGGAAACTGAGGTACAGAGAAGATACATAACCTATCCCAGATCCTACAGTTTCTAAGTGGCAGACTGGATATTTCACTTCTGGTATTTTGACTCTCGAGTTTACTTTCATAACCATTACTCCAAGCTCCTTCTCAAACTCCGTCTTCTCCATCTGGACTTGATATATTACCAATCACATGGGATTATGTAGATTCTCCTTCTAAGGTCATTTGTGCCCTGGTAATGTTCTTCTTAATGGCAATGGTTTTCAAGGACTACCACTTATAAGGAGCCCACAGACAGTGCACTAGGAACTTTTACAGTCATATAATCTCATCTTACCATCCCAACAATATTAAGAACTGGATATTATCTCCTGTATACAGTTAACCAAAGGGAAGCTGACTGAAGAAACCTGCACAGGATCAAACAACTAGGAAGTAAAAGAGGCAGAACTCAAACCCAAGCCTATGACACCAGAGCCTATGCTCTTAACCACTTGACAATATGGTCTCCCTTCTGTTGTTCTCCTTCCTATCAGTTCTAGAAAGGCAGCTCCCACCGCATCTCCAATGTACTCCTTTGTTCTTCCAGCACAGTTGCCTTATGAAGGCCCTTGAGAAACCTTTCTTAAATCTAGTCAGCTCTGGAAGAGCTGAGATTTTAGTCCTTACTCTGATACTCTATGTGCCATTGAGGAGATCACTAAGCTTCTTTGAGTCTCCGTACCCTTCTCTGCAAAGTGGGCATAAACACACCTACTTCTTGAGATTGCTGCAGGAATTAGAAGATAATAAATAGTACTACATCAACTATTTCAGCTACTTTTAGTTATCATAATAATCATGGGCATTTCAGCATCATCAAACAGAATATAAGATTGGTTGTCTGAGTTTTCAGATACCAGGAAGCATTAATTATCTTCTTCCAGAACAACTAAATAAGTACTTTGGAAGGATGTACTTTAGAGCTCAAAAGAGCAAGTTTTTTTCTTATTTATCTGTTTGTTTTGTTTTGATACTTGGGACATTGCACTTGTGAGGAAGGTGGTAACCACTGAGCTAAATCCCTGGCCCTAGAGCAAGTTTTAAATGAGAGCTTTCTCTCACTTTCAGATGGTCTTGTATAATTCTGATGTTCTTCCACAAAGCTAGGACTGACTGCTTACAGATAGGCCACTTGTTGAATGACAATTTTAAGAAACAGCTATACCTCAGAACCAAAGATATTTAAAGAATTTCAGAAGCCTACATTTTCAAGAAACTTCAGCAAATAGTAAAAGATAGGTTTTTTGTGAGGAAGAAAAATTCTATATCTGAACTATTTATACGAAAAAATAACAGTGGTTATGAGTCCAAAAGCCTATAATGAATATATCTACTCTAAAATATGCATCTCAAAATATTGGAATAAAAAAGAATTATTACTGTTTCTCATCAGTTACTTACTGAAAATATACAGTCTAACTCATAATAAATTGTTGAATCATATGTATATGCACTTAATTTGCCAAAACAACCATAAAGTTTAATGAGGTCAACTCCCAGGAGGCAGATTTATTACTATTCACTTAATATGAATGAAGGTAATAAAAATATTTAACAACAAACATGATGCATGCACCATTAGAACATGCCCATTAATTGTAAAATACTCAATTTGCTTAATTCTTTCCTTTTGATCAAATGAGGCCAAATCAAGTCCATTTGCTTTACAGTGCCCACCCAACTATGCGTTCTTTCTGACACTTCCTTTATTTGGAAACTGCTTTAAATCTTGTGATATGCCTGGCACATTCAAGCTTAGATCTAGCCAAGAAATAAATCAAAAGTTGGTACTTTCTGGCACCACCAGGTTTAATTGCTTGGACTTGGGTTAGTTAAAGGGCACAAGGCCAGTAAAACTTGCCAGGAAAAAAAAAAATACAGTAAATTTAGCACTTACTGCCTTGAGGTCTTCATTAACATGAGTATCATTCATTATAAAATCAGGATAGCCAACTTTTGCCAAAACAGTTCTTGCCTATAAAAAAGAAAAAGAAAAATGATGTCAGAGTTTCAGCACTTAAATCATTAATAATCATAGGATGTAGGAATACAATCTTCATCTGAAAACTCCATTTACTGAATATCTAGTATATGCAATCCCTTGTGAAGGACAAAAACAAACAGCAACAATAACAAAAGTTAGCCCCTGTCCTCAATATATTAAAAATGTAATGAATATAGAAGATACCTGCTACAAAACAAACAAACAAACAAACAAAAAACTTAGTATTGTTATCAACGTCCAGAGCAGAGACCATTTCCTTAAGGGGAAAAGGCAAGTCTTAGAGAATAGTTAGGACTGCAAACTGCAGAGCTGAGGAGAACAATCCTTCAGAAAAGAAAATAACAAACAGAAAGGAAAAAATATTTGTGAACTATATATCTGATAAAGAGTTTGTTTCCAAAGTACATAAGACACTTAAACAACTCAGTAGTGAAAAAAATATAGTTTAACTAGATTCAAAAATAAGCAAAGGACCTGAAAAGATATTTCGCAAGATACGGAATATATGTCCAACAGGCATATGAAAAAAGTTGTAACATTATTAATCATGAAGAAAATGCAAGAGAAAAACTACAATGAGATATCACCTCACTCCAGTAAAAATGACGATTATCAAAAACAGCTTGCAAGTGTTTGTGAGGATGTAAAGAAAATAGAATACTTGCACACTGGTAGTGGGAATGTAAATCAATGCAGTCGCTGTAGAAACAGTATAAAGGCTGCTCAAAAAATTAAAAATAGAACTACTATTAGATCCAGCAATTCCATTTCTGCAAAGGAAATGAAACCAGTATATGGAAGGAACATCTGCACTCCTGTGTTCATTGTAGCACTGTTAACACTCAACACATGGAATCAATTTATAAATGTCTAAGTTGTCCATCAACTGACAAATGTATAAAAAAGTAATATATGCAATAGAATAGTATTTGGCCATAAAAAGAAAGTAATTCTGTCATTTGAGACAACATGGATAGAAGTACAGACCATTATTTTAAGTGACACAGCCAGGAACAGAAAGACATACTGCATGATTTCACTAATATGTGAGATTTTTAAAAGTCCAACTCATAGAAGCAGAAAGTAGAATGATGGTTACCAAAGGCTGAGTGTTAGACTTGGGGTGATATAAGTCAAAGAATACAAAATTTCAGTGATACAAGAGTCCAGAAGATCCATTATATGAGTCCAGAAGATCTACTATATAATATGGTGATTACAGTTAATAGCAATGTATTGTATACTTGGAGTTGCTAAGAGAGATTGTCAATGTTCTTACCACAAAAAAATGATAAATACGTGAGGTAATGCACACATTACTTTGTTTTAGTCCTCCTACAATGTACACATATATCCAAACATCTTAGTGTATACCATAAATATATAAAACATTTATCTGATGATTTAAATGAATAAATACGAAAAAGACAAGAACAGAGGAAACAAATGGATCACAGGGACGACCAAAGTTCCTGAATGCCGTGCTAATGAGTCCACATTTTATTTTATAGCTAAGACAGGGCTAAATACTTTCAGCAAGAGAGTAAAAAACATGAGTCATGCTTCAGCAAGATCACCCATGCAACACTGAACAATAGCCAGGATGCCAGAAAGATTGAAGGCAGGGGGTCCAGAATAATTTAAGATATGTCATAATATCATAACCATCATTTCAATAGACAATGAAACATATTGTTCTCTGTATTTTGCAGTACACAGGGAATGTATAAAGGGGGAAAAAATCACCTTGGGCATATGTAAGGAGGCTTTGCAGTAGAGACTGGCAAACTACAGCCCCTAAGCAAAATCCAACCCTCTTCCCCTACCTATTTTTATAGATAAAGTTTTACAGGAACATAGACACACTCATATGTCTATTATCTAGAGATGCTTTTTTGCTACAACTGCAGAATTAAGTAGTAGGGACAAAAATTCTGGGGCCCACAATGCCTCAAATACTCTCTCTAGACCTTTTTGAAGTGTGTCTTAGAAAGTGTGATCAAGAACTCAGTGAATGCTGCTGCTGAGTGCCATCCAACAGAAAGGAAGGCTTGCAGGCACATTACCTATACATCGTCCTTCACTTTATTCACTGCATCTGGCACTGTGTGACTTCTGGCTCTTTCCCAAAGTCAAAATGATCATGAAGGGTAATTATTTTAATTGATTCAGTACACCAAGGCAGCCATGACAGTGCAACTAAAGACATTTATGAAAGAGGACTTCCAGAACTGCTTCAAAAAGTGGAAAGAATGATAGAATAAGTGTGTTCGAAGCAAGGGGGAGTATTTTGAGGGAGATTATTTTCAATGCATGTTTTAGTATAACAAATTTTTTACATTTTATACATTTACAATATTTTTCAATCACATCTCATATAATTTATACTTACAAACTTCCTTGCAAGATTAGACCAGTTCTGAAATATCGCCTGAATTCATATCCGCCCACACATCTCTTACCCCTCACTTTCTTATTTCTCCCATATCTTGATGGCTTTTCTTGGGAGTATTTCATTACTAAATCACTTGCACATAATTCTCATCTCCAGATTTTCCTCCAGATAACCCAGCATATGAAACAGGCAACCTCAAATTTATTTTCTTTCAGCAAAGCAACAATGCAAAATCAGCAACCTTTGTACACTGCTCTTGATAACAAGTTTTTTTCTTTTAGTCCTTGTCAATTTTCCTCACTCAGAAATAAATAGAATAAGGTGGCACATTTTCCTTATCTTCCTTGAGATAATTCAAATATTAAATACCAGCAGAAACCTGCAACTCAAGACTCAAAGAGGATTTTACAAGTGCCGTAGGAAAAAATCATAATGGGTTTTGCTGTTCCAGAGACTCAAATATAGCACAGATCAAATTCTGCCTTAAAACCCTGTGTGTTGTACACACTGAAAGCTTGATGTGACCCAAATAGCAGATGACTAGAGGTTAAAATTTTCCACAATACAAAACAGTATGTCATATATCTACATGTTACCTTGTTCTGAAACTGTTATTTTCTTCATTGTATTTCATTTCACACTGTATTTTAGTAGCTCACCAAAAGTCATATGTATAAGTAAGACAAATAAAGAGCTCCAGATAGTTCTCTCTACTCCATCCCCCAAAATAAGAAATAAACAAGCTGAGTCATCCACAATTGTTTCCTGAACACTGGCCTTTCCAGAGCATGCTGGTGAATTATGTATTGTTTTACAAACCTCAAGCTCTGGGACCTCCACTGCCCTATGGAGTCTCACAGAATATATTACCCTCTGCACTCTACATGCAGATTATCGAATCCTTTGTTATTTATTTAGCATCACCATGAGCGGAACAGAATCAGAACAGATATGCAAAGAATCCTTATTTGCCTCCCAAGAATACATAGTTAAAATAAGATAATCATAGTAATAGCAACATTGCTAACATTTGAAGAGTGCTCTTCTTCCCAATCATATACTTACGCCTCTATTCAGAATGGAATGCTCCTTCTGCCAGAGTTTTCTGTCAATTCCATACCATCCCAGCTGCCCTATTCTACATTTTCTCTTAGAAGCTTCAGAATCATACCTGTCAAACAGCATGGGCCAGGGCTCAAGATTAGACTACCAGGGAGAAGCTAGCCTAGGCCATTGGAAAGGTAGAAGAGAACAAAGCATTATTTACTCATGGCTGGCAGCCACTGACAGCATGTGGGTATCCAGAGAAGAGAAGATGCTTTGCCAGCAACTTTCAGGCATTTTTCTGGGATGATCCCTTCAGGGTGTAGGCAGCAAACCTCATGGGCAGCCTCTGGCCTTTATTCCCCAACCCTCCAAATCACTATGTTAAACATTTTCCTGCTTATTACACATAAAAGGACATCTGTTTTCACACAAGAATCCTAATGCAGGACCAGCACCAAGTGGAAGGTGGAAGGTGGAGGTCTGGCTCCAAGATCCATTCTCCTTCCAGCCTGCCTGGGCCCAATTGGTGATGATGGGTAGCCACACCCTCATTCCACCTGCATTGACCAGCACCCAGCTGAAGGTGGAAGGTGGAGGTCCGGGACAGCCACTCTGAGATCCGTTCTCCCTCCAGCCTGCCTGGACCCAATCAGTGATGACTACCTTGCCATGCAGTCGCCCCTCCAACACCCTCATCCTCCCCACCCTCCACACCCACTCTCAGGCCTCCTGATTGTGCCAGTCCTTGGATCCACTCTGCAGAGGCACAGGCACATGTAGTCATAAAGGGCATTTTTCTGAGCTCCAGACTTTGAACATCTTCAAGGAAAGGGCAGAGGGAACCTGTAGTAGAACTTTGCAGAGTTCAAACCTGCAGGAGGTCAGTGAACTCAATTTGGGCCTTGCAGCCTGAAATCAGTCTGAATCTCAGGGGTCTGCCATCAGCTAGCTGAGATCAAAGGACTTAGTTCTGCACATGGCTAAGCACATTGTCTATTGTGACAGCAGAGATATAATCTGAAAGAGGCCCTTTGAATTCTTTATCTTCTTTCTTTTCCTCATTCCACTCTGCAAATTCTTTCTTTTTTCTGTCCTCTTTTTCCAACTCAGTATCTTGCTCCCCCATATTATATTCCTCATCTCTCTTTCTGTTCCTGTTCTTGCCCTGACTTGGATTTCTTCTTTTATCGTTTTTTCTTTTTTCTTTGTTATTTTCTTCTCTCATTTTACTGCACTCAAGGGTCAAGAGTTTCAAAGGAAGTGAGCCCCTATTACTGTTAAGTTGTTATATTCTTGTCCTTCTTCTTGCACTCTGTCTTTTCCTTCTGACTTTAACAGTTTCCTAAAGATTGTATAGTCACCCTATGTCCTCTGGCTTCGCTTGAAACCTTCTCCAATTCTTTTACTTATCTACTCCTCTCATCCTAACTCGGTCTAAGCCACCATCCTAAATGGTAAAGATGTTATATTGAAGAGTTTATTCATTACAAACATATTTTGGACTGCTTCTTGATTATAATTTAATTCA